GCGCGCCCCGGCCCCCGCCTCGGCCGCAGCGCGCCCGCAGCCCGGTGATTCGCTCTCTCTCTTTGGCGTTTGAAGGCAGCGCGGCGACCGTCCTTGAGCGCGGAGGGGCGAGCTCGCCGCCGGAGCGCCAGAGCAAGAGGAGGCGCCGGAGCGGCGGCGGCGCGCGAGCACCCGAGGGGGTCCGAGCCCCGGCAGCCGGTCAGCCCCGCGCCACAAAGGGAGCGCCCCCGCCGCCCGGCACGCCGCCTCCCTCCCCAATGTCCTCGGCCATCGAGCGGAAGAGCCTGGACCCCTCCGAGTAAGTGCGGCTTCCCGGTCCCCGCCGCCGCCGTGCCCACGGCCTCGCGCCCGGAGCAGCGACGTGGCGCGGGCGGCCGCCTCTGCGTGGCGCGCCAGGGGCTCCCCGGGGCTCGCAGGTGACTCTGGGGTCCCTGGGAAGAGGATCGGGCGGAGGGCGGTAGAAATAGAAGGCGGCGCGGAGCCTCCGGGGCCCCTCCGGGCTACCAGGGACAGTCCCCAAAGCCCGGGCCGGGCCAGAAAGTTCGCATCGGAGCGGGCACAGGGGCGCCGGCAGGCACGCAGGTGCATCCGGGGAGCGTTCAGGTCTCCATTCCGCTTCCTTCTCCCCTTTCGCCCCTTCTCTTTGTCCGTTTGGTCCTGCAAAGTGGGACATTCCAAGCGGAGGCCTCCTCAATCCCGGACGACCCCCTTCCGGGCCCGCAGGTGGAGCGGCTGCGGCAGTGCGAATAACGGGCGAGTGGGGGGGGGGTCCGCCTGCCCACCTCAGAGTCGCCCGGGCCCCCAGAGACTTCCAGGGCCGCTAGCCCGGAGTTAGTCTGGGTACCTGGACTCCCTTCTGCACGCGTCCGCTGATGGAGGCCCGTGAGCCTGGAAAGTTAGTGCACTATTTTGTGTATAGCTATATTTTTCTGGGGAGCAAAATCTCATAGCTATTATTATTCTCTCACAAAGGTTTGTTTGGGTCCGGGAGCCAGACCTCTCTAATGAGCATATACTGCATGTATTTCTTGTGTTTTGCACTGCTTTGGAGTGATCAAGACCGCTTTCCCCACCTATATACCCCGAACCATTCTGTAGCTTTAACTTGGGGAGGAAAGGGATGTTTAAGGTATCATTTTCCCCATCAACGCAAATGGCATTTTAAGAGTCATTAGCTGTCTGGTTTTGAATTTTTGTTCCTTTGAAGTCCCCATCTAATCCTTTGAAGGGATTTGTTACACAAGACCAAAGGAGCTAGTTAATGACTTGTCCGTTTGTGCTTTTAAGAGGCATTTGTTTTGTTTCTTCTTTTCCTGCTTTAAAAGAATCTTGCTTTCCTGCTTGAAATGCTACCCCTTCCTATTTTCATCTTTAGGTGGTGTTTATTTACCTGGGTCTTACCCTCCCGTTACCAGCCTAAAAACTCAGCAGGTTCCCATAAAACACAGGAAGTACCAGGATTCAATGAGAATATAAACATCACCCTGCAGTCTTGAAGGTTGAGACACCAGCTCCATAAGAAATAAGGAGCAAGGTTTGTTGTAACAAGGACCCAGCCCCCTTAAATTCCCAGGAGAAAAATAACATTCCCTTAAGAAGATATAGATGGGGGAAAGAGAGAGAGAGAGAGAGAGAGAGAGAGAGAGAGAGAGAGAGAGAGAGAGAGGTGTAAAGCATAGTTTGTTCATCTTTTTATACACCTACACTGACAACTGAACTCTGAATTGTCAGACGTTGAAAAAGACCCTAGTAATCCTGTGACTGAACTGAATGAATTGGTGTCCATCAGCAGTACTTAGTCCCAGATCCTTTTATTAGAAGGTAAATCTAAAAGGTTTGGTCCCTTAGAGGAAGTTTTCCTAACTTGATAGCACAGCAGGACCCTTCTTGGATGGGGGTGGGGGGGTGGGGTGGGATTCCACCTTTTCCTGCACTCTGCCCAGGAAGGCAGATTGTAACTGAAGGTGTACAAGCTGGTTGAGAGAGTGCTGCAGTACACCTCCCCCTCCTCTCTTGGAATTTGTCAAGAAATTATCCCAGGCTGAAGTGATACTCAGATGTTATATATAGGGCTGGCTTTGGAGAAATATCTCCTATTACTTTGAAGAGGAATCCCACTCAGTCGTTGACCTGGACCGTCTACCAAACAATCTGCGTTGTTACCATTAATTACAAAGCAGTAGATGGAGCCAGTATCATGCCCTGTCCTTCTCTGCCTCCCCTCAGCCCATGCCGTGGTTCCTTTTGGTTTCCATTTCTTTTGCAGCAGTGGACTCTCCTGCTGTGTAGATGTTTCATTGTGTGCTTGCTCAAAGCTGAAGAGGGAGTCCCACCTGCAAAGACACACAAAGGATTTGCCTAGGCACATGCAAATGAAGCACCTAGGCAGAGGACAGCCACAGCTCAGGAGAGAGATTTCCTTTGCTGGGCAAGCCCTGGCCCCTGCGGCCTCCCTTCCAGGCAGCTTTGCACCAACTCAGTGCATATTCTCCCTTTGCACAGATGGTTGGCAGTGGCAGCACCAGGGCATCCCAGAGTACGACCATAGGCTGTAGAAGGAGAAGAGAAGCAAGTCTGGATTGATGTAGAAGCAAAGACTTTGCCCTTTATTTATTTTTTCTTTTGGGGATTGAACTCAGGACCTTGCACTCACCAGGCAGGCACTTATGCTGCTGAGCTATGTCCCCAGCCCCTAGAAGCAAAGACTTCAAAGGATTTATTTAGGTGTTTTCTACCCAACAAACTGGTTTGAACTTTGTACTTCCTCGTTCTGAAAGAATTTTATGCTTTTACTACAATTTTCGGTTTGCAATAATCCTAAGTATTCAGTCTTTTTTTTTTTTTTTTTTTTTTTTTTTTTTTGAGATAGGTTCTAGCAGTATAGTTCAGGCTGCCCCTGAACTCATTGTATAACCCAGGCTGGCCTTGAACTTGTAGCAATCCTCTTGCCTCAGCCTCCTGAGTGGTGGGATTACAGGCGTGCACCATCACACTTGGCTAAATATTCAGTCTGTACCAGAATAAGACTCTTGAACATTGCAGAGTATCAACATATCGCTACCCTATTAATATACTTTATATTAACAAATTTGTGTAATGATTTTGTAAAAAGAATATAGTGCTGGAAATACTCAGCAGAGAAGTTAGACAAGAAAGAGAAACAAAAGGAATAAGAACTGGGGAAAAAAAGACATTTGAAATCATCAGAGGGCATTAAAACACTGATTCCCTGAGTCTCACTGTCCCTCAGTATAATGGGTGCTGAGCTTAATGGGCACAGGCCAAGTGGAACACATTGTCACCTGGTAAGAGTCAGGAATAGGAGGTGCAGATTTATAGCTCCAGGCTACCCAAGAAGAAACTCCTTTTGGAAATTCCACCATTGGAAGAAGACTCTTGGGAAAAAAAAATCTTTTAAAATGAAGTTTGCAAAAAATAAATAAAATGAGATTTGCATTTGACCAAAGTTCCAGAGATTGTGGTTAATTATTACAAAATTGGTAAGCATTTTCCCCCCATTCCCACGCTGGTGTAACAACCATTCCTTCCACTCTTTTTCTTTTGGAAAAGTTCCTTATTTTAAAATGTCAAGAAAAAATATTCAGGTTCCAGTGAACCAGAGTGAACAAGAAGTTGGATGCACAGTCTTTCAGTGTGTCGTAGCTCACTATGAACGGATTGTCTGAATCAAAATCTGTGCATCTGCCTTTATTGTCTTCTGTTCTTTTTAAGATCATTGTTTTTGCCACTTTCCTACGTTTTTTCCTCCTGCTAACTTTATTCCAGTCAACTTTGCTGTTGTAAAAGTTTTCATGTGAAGAAGGAGAACGCTGTCCATTATCAGGTTGACCAAAATAGTCCTGATTTTTTTCTTAAGAAAAAAAATCAGTAAGAAGGTTGGGAAGCAGAACTATGATTAATAAGATAAAAGAGAATTCCTGTTACGTCCTAATAGGATTTTTAGTGTGGAATGAGGACCAAAGGAACTTCGGGTCTAGCAGTATAGTTCAGGTTGCTTTCTTTTTTCCTCACCTCTGCTTTTGTCCACTGGGAAGGGCTTGAGGCAGAGCAGCCTGAAGAGTCAGTGGGGAGCCAGTGTCTCAGGTCCTGGCTGTGGAGAAAGGGGGAAGAGAGGGAGGCCTAGGAAGAGAGAGGAGTCTGAGGAGAAGGTGGGAAGACGCAGAAGGGACCCTGGAGGGGTCCACCCTGGTGCTGGGCCATGGGTGAGGGGCCAGCGCCACCTGCGGGCCTCTTAGTGCCTGTGTTTACGTCTAGGATCTTGGGTGTTAAGATCTAGCACACTCTAGTCTTAACCAAGGTTGGCTGGGTTTCTCTGCGGCCTGCCGGAGGGATGCATTGTCTCATGGGGGTGGGGGAGAACAGTGGATCAAGGCTCCCTCTCTGACCCCAAATGACTTCTTTTTAAAAAATAATTTTATTGAGAAACAAATGACAATGAGACAGTTTCAAAAACCGATTAGTAGGACAGTTTAATAATACATTGCATATTGTTGTCTTCATAGTGGTATTCATAGTACAAGATTCAGAGATATTAACCTGTCCACAAACACTATTAGTACAAAACCTACTGTTTCTCAAGTAAATATTTGTTTTTTAAAAAAAGATAATAAATGAAAACAAGAGACAAAAAAAAATGTCATAGGATGATCCTGCTACAATGCTCTATGTGGTTAGATTTCTACATTTCTGTCCAAGTGACTTCTGATTCCTAGCGAGTTTGTGCCTAATGCTTGGCCTCCTCCCCAGGGAACCAGTGGATGAGGTTCTGCAGATCCCCCCATCCCTGTTGACATGTGGTGGCTGCCAGCAGAACATCGGGGACCGCTACTTTCTGAAGGCCATCGATCAGTACTGGCACGAGGACTGTCTCAGCTGCGACCTGTGTGGGTGCCGGCTGGGCGAGGTGGGGCGGCGCCTCTACTACAAGCTGGGCAGGAAGCTCTGCCGGAGGGACTACCTCAGGTACCTGCCCCGAGCCCCTGGGGACATCTGGGTCTGGGTAGATGGTCCCCAGCCTCTAGCAGGTCAGGCTGTGGAGGTGAGACTCAGTTATACCAGGCAAAGAAGCAGCTGGCGCTTCCTCCTGCTGAGATTCTCTTGTGAGAAACCCATGCCTGGGTGATAAAATCCTAATATTTTTAAAGTAAGAGAAGGATAAACACACAGAGTAGTGGTTCTGTCTGGCAGCTGGGCTGGGAGTACATAGAGAGAAAACATCGTAGGGTCTGGGAATGTTTTTTCCTTTGGGGTCTATTCTTAGGAACTCACTTTAATGGTTCAAAACATGTGATGTGCGACTTAAAATAGGGTATTTAAATTAGAAAAAAATGTATTATAGAAAAGATACATTGCCCTTCATCCCTCTCAAAATAGCCCTGTCACTTCAAACACACTTCCCCTGTCATTCTTGCCACTTTCTGAAGCAGTTCTGGGAGTCCTCTGGGGTGAACATCTTTAGTTGTGCCAACTTGGTTGCCTCCATGACCTGAATTGATGCAAAGCATTTATTTTCACGGTTATTTTGTCTTTGGAGTCGCATGGTGCCAGATCTGATGTAAAAGATGGATGAGGACACAGAATTTTATTTGGCAAAAATTGTCATAAACATTTTGAATCAATTCAGGACAGTGAAGCAGCTCCCAATAGATACTCACAGAAGAGGACTCCCAGAACTGCTTCAGCAAGTGGCAAGAATAATGGGTTGAGTGTCTGAAGGGAGGGGAATATTCGGAGGGGGATTAAAGGCAATTTGTTTTTATTTTTATTTATTTATTTTTAGTCTTTAGTACAGGGTCTACACAGACTCAGTCTGAGGTCTCGTAGTGATTCTCCTGTTTTCAGCCTCCCAAGCACTGGGATTACAGGCACACACCACCACAGCTCAGTTGCCCTCTCAGCATGTCCTGGGGGTGGAGCCGGCACAGCATCTTGGAGATGGAATCCTGGCCACTGTCTGCCTAAGTGGACACTTTAGTCGGCTGACCTATCTGGCCGGCCCTGACAATGTGATTTTAATATTGTGATACATTTTTAAAAATTATTTATTTATTTATTTGGTACAGAGTCTTGTTGCACAGTTCAGACTCGTAGTGATCCTCCTGCCTAGGCTCCCCAGCACTGGGATTACAGGTGTGCACATCCTCGCCTGGTTTCAGGGCTGGCTTATTGTGCCCAGGGGCCAGCACGGCATACAGTACCAGGGATCCAACTTGGGTCCTTGCCCTTGCCAGGCAAGTGTTTAGACCACCAAGCTATCTCCCCAGCCCAGTGATGCATTCTTAAAGCTTAAATATTGACCATGTATTTTGGTTACCCCTTGCATACATCCAGGCACAGTGGCACTTGCCTGTAATGCCAACTGTATGGGAGACTGAAGTAGAGCAAATGTCTCAAAACGTTAGGTCTGTAGCTCTGTGATTTCCCTGGATCCAGTGTCCACTCCTCTAGAAAAGTAAGATTATAAGTATTATAGTATGTTATTCCATAAGAACAGAAAGCATTTGCTTAGCATGGGATTCCAGGCATTGACTTGCATAGTAGGAAGGTGGTGTCCAGTGTATGTAAAGGCAGAAGCCCAGAACTCAGTCTGAGGTCTGAATCTCCACCCTGTTACTTCCTGGCTCTTTGGTCTTGGGCAAGTTACTTAACCTGCATGACCCACAAGTTCCTCATCTGAAAGTGGGGACCATTACGGTGCCTGCTTCCAAGGAAGAGGCGAGCATTAGGTGGAGTCGTCCATGAGATGCACATTGGTGCGCAGTTATCAAATAGATGCCAGCTTTTGTAATTTACCTGTATGCCTGGTCATGAATTGCATTCTAATCCAAAGGACAGAGAGATGGCGGAGTGGAAGGACAGAATGGGAAACCTACAAGCCCAAAGGAGGTAGGAGGTTAGGAGGCTTTCCTGCCCTGGGCCATAGGCTTGGCCACGTGAGTTTTCAGCACTCAGCGAGTGCTTTTGTCTGGAAGTTTCTAGCATGTGCAGTCTCATATTTGCTGTGGAGCAGCGCTGTGCCCTCTCCTATCAGATCTGCCCAGCTGTGGAGCTGTCAGTTCGTCACCATCTTCCTCTGGCAGGGGCTCCAGAGCATGCAGCCCTAATGCACTGGGCCCATCTGACCCGCAGACACTGGCTTAGACTCCAGCGGGCTTGGCTGCTGGGTCAGAGCTTCTGCCCTAATCTGCCCACAAAGCATCTCACACGGGTTTCACCCTCAAACCCAAACTGCAGGTAATTCCACATCGAAGGAAGCTTATCTGTTTACCCTTTTTCTTTTCTCCTAAATTCCCTGATAAAGTCCTCGCGGATTTAGTGGTTCTGAAAAATGTAAGTAGGATTTTTTTTCAGTGATCATGATTGGAATGTTGGTAGATTTCCTTTTTTATTTTCTTTAAATCACAAGAAAATAGAACTGGGATAAATACAGACCTGGTTTTGCTCGCTTCCAGACTGCCAAATCAGTCAGAAAGCAGACGGGTAAATGATTCCCACAGGGCCTCTGCCTACATCCCTGTCGAATCATTTGAATCTTATTAAACGAAGTGCAGATCCCGTAAGGTCAAAAGAGCCGGGTTTCTTCCTATCTCTACAGTTTTATATAACATTCAAGAATAAAACCAGTGCTGCCTGGGCTTGTTAATCTTTTCCATTCTCAAGAAGGAGAAAAAAAAAAATAGTCTGGGAGAACCCTGTGTTAATTAACTTGTGTCTTGGTGACATGAAATAATTCTTCTCCCTGCTACATTCCCAGGAAATATGTTAATTAACTCCGTGTTCGTGCGGGTGTTCCCAGCCATCTCTTAATATTTGTATTATTGTTATTAAAATGGGCAGCGGAAAGCTTAAGACCTGACACCTCTTGACAGGGGAGAAAAATTGTAATTTTTTGCTACAGCGATGGACTTGTATATTTGCATTCTTTGCGTAGGTGGCTGTGTCTTTCAGCAGAGCAGGTTGGAGGAGTGACTTGGTGTTCGCTGTTGGGTTCCGATCTCTCTTCTCCCTGGAATAACTTCTCCCCAGGAGGATTCCCTGTGGCTGACTTGACTGTCAGCACGCTCTTCAGACACTTAGCCTCAAATATTGATGAGAGCCCATGCAGAAGCTAACAACAGGCGCTGTTGTATTGTCGGGGACCTAATCTTAGCTATTAATGCTGATGCCCAGCCTATGTCTGTGTTTGGGTTTTGCCCATTTTGGCATGTGTCACCTCCAGACCCCCAGTGGCTTTCTTTGTTTTATTTTTAGATAGGTCCTTGCTAGATAGTTCATTTTGGCCCTAAATTCATTGTGTGCTCCAGGTTTGCACTGAACTTAAGGCAATCCTCCTGAGAGCTGGGATCATAGGCAGGCATCTCATCTAAGCAGCAACTGGTACAGCCAGAAGTCTGCTGGCCTCACAAGACTAGGGCCTGAGTCCACGACACAAGCTGCAAAAGTCCCAGAGTCCAGCAACCTGGCCTGGAGCCAGGGCTACTTGGAGATGTGACTTAAACTCAGGAGGTCCCTGAGCATCAGACTGAAGCTCTCTTCAAGGGTCCCTGGCTCAGACCAATGCTGGGCTTCCTCACCTTGAGTCCAGTTTCCCCTTCTGCTGTCCTGGGCTCCTCTGAGAACATCCTCGGTAAATGCCTTGCACAAATCCCCCCTAGGGTCTGCCTCTGGGATATCCCGTGGTAAGTCGCCACGGCCTACTCTGTTTCCACTCCTGTTAGAATGCAGAGTGCCTGCACCTGAAGGGGCTATGGGGCCCTTCTCTCCCAGTGCCTTGGCTCACAGCCTAAGCCACACAAGCCGTCTTCTCAGGCCACCTGGCTGCTGAGAGGTTGTGCAGGGACCTGAACCCGTCTCCCAAATATTAGTGCTTCTTCCTTCTCTTCATTAGCTGCCTGATGGGTTGTAACTTATCCCCGGCTGCCCTTTAATAAGCTCCCTCCTTCCAAAGGATCTCAAGCCCCAGGCAGTTGGACTCATTTCGTGCCCCGTTTTCTCCGAGCCACGTCTCTTCTCAGGCCCCAACTTCACTTACTAAATAGTCAGGAAACCAGAACCCTTTCCACCCTGTGACCTCCAGTGCAAGGGATACCTACAGCTGTACCATCTGCCGTGGTGGGATAAAATGCTCTCCCTTGCTAATGAGTTTGTTGCTTGGGAATACTTGGATTCCTCCGGTGGAAATCCGGGTTCAGAGGGAAATGATCTGGCCCTGGTGCTAATGTGAGCTCTCAGCTCACAGAGCCAGGCCTCTCCTCGGGTCCAGTCTTCCTGCCCAAATGTTGCAAACTTTGGTAGCTGCCCTCACCCTCCTTACAACCTCTCAGGAGGAACCAGTTGATGCCCTGATTTTCTGAAGTGAATAGCTTCCAGTAAGAGCAAGCACCTACCTACCTCTTTCTTGAGAATTTTATGTGCTGTGTCACCAGCCAGGTGTGCAGATGACCCCACAGGAAGGACCACTCTGATGTGTTCAAACAGAGCCAGTACTGGTGGCTTGGCCCTTGACTACTGGCACTCAGACCTGCCCTGTTCACTGCTTCCAACAGCTGGGCCAGGGGGAGGGTGATGCTGTATTCGTGGATGCTTGGAGAAATCAGAGCCCAGCCCACTTGGGTCCTCCAGGCTGGTCCTGCACTCTACAGCTGGGCCTTCTGGCTCCAGCACCTGTGTTACTCAACTCCTGCATGCTTCTCCTGTACCCTCACACCAGCGTCATTAGTAGGCACACTGCGGGCCTGCACCCTGCGTGTCCAGCAGGTGGAGGGGATGTACTCTCTCTGTCCCTGTATCTGTCTCTGTCTCTGTCTCTGTCTCTGTCTCTGTCTCTCTCTGGATTTTTGATACAGGGTCTCGCTATGTAGCCCAGGATGGTCTCAAATTCCCAGCAATCCTCCTGCCCCAGGCTTTGGGGAGCTGAGGTTGTAAGTGTGTGCCCCTGCGTCTCACTGAGAAATTGTATTTCTGAAAGTTCCTGCTTTTGCTAGCCTGGGGACCAGACTTTGAGAACCACTGTGTTGACCTCTACCAAGTTGTATCTCCACCCTGACACTAAATAAATACTGCTTGAAGTAAGTGGCTAATCCATAAAGGCCAAGGAGATCCTTAATTTAAACTTTTAAAGGGAGGAGGTTTCCCCAGAAATATATGTCAAAGGGGCATTGAGGCCAGGCATGGTGGCGTGTGTCTGTAATCCCAGCACTCAGGAGGCTAAGGCAGGAGGATTATTACTGTGAGTTTGAGGGCAGCCCGGCCTACAGAGTCAGTTCAAGGCCAGCCTGAACTGCACAGTGAGACCCTGTCTCAAAAAAGAAAAGGAAAGTCACCACCACCACCAACAACAAAAAAAAAACAGTGATGGCTGTGAATGAAGCTCTTCTGTTCATTGTGGAGAGATGTGTTTGTCCTCCAGGTCTCCGAGGCAGGACTGACTATGCTGTGCTCCATGTTCTGTGGAGGTCCTCAGAGTTGGGCTTTGTGTTGAGGGGGATTCCAGGGCCTGTCTCCCTGTGCAACTGGTGGCTTTTGACATGGTAGAGTTGGGAAGCTCAGAAAGATGTCTATATCTATTGTAATCCTCATCAAACCCTACAAATGCCCCCTTTTTTTTGGTATTGGAAATTGAGCTAGCTACATTTCCAGCCCTTTTTGCTTTTTTAATTTTGAGACAGAATCTAAGTCACCAAGTTGCCCAGGCTGGGCTAAAAAGCGCAGTCCACCCGGTTCTCTTTCAGTGGGACCCGTGGGACTCTTCTCCAGCTCCTCTTCCATTGTGAAGGTTCCCAGGCAGGGCACACGCACTCCCCTTGCCCTCATCACAAGTCACTTTGATGGGTGCCTTCCCAGTGGTGACCTGAGGTAGCTTAGAGGTGTGGGCAATGGTTGCTAAAGACAGGGAAAGTTCAGAGGAAGGAGACATGTCACCCAAATCCTACAGTGTCTGCCTTCTGCAATTGGGCAGCCCGCATCCAAATCCAGCTTGTTCTAGCTTCTGGGCACCCTAGACGTGTGATCTCCCTTCCCAGCCCTTACCAACCTGTTCTTCCCATCACCTCTCCACCCTTGCATCTTGGCTTTTCTCTTTTTTTGCCCCAGGCTTTTTGGCCAAGACGGTCTGTGTGCATCCTGTGACAAGCGGATCCGTGCCTACGAGATGACCATGCGGGTGAAGGACAAGGTGTACCACCTGGAGTGCTTCAAATGCGCCGCCTGTCAGAAGCACTTCTGCGTGGGCGACAGATATCTCCTCATCAACTCCGACATAGTGTGTGAACAGGACATCTACGAGTGGACTAAGATCAACGGGATGATATAGGCCAGAGTCCCTTCGACGGTGTTCATGGAAGGGGCCGGCTCCATGGTGTCTTCACTCTTGGGCACTTTGGGGATTTAAGGGTGGGGTGAGGCATTGGAATCTTACTGGGAACCAAGGAATAGCCTCAAGGGATGTAGTGCATGGGCCAAGACTTCCATGTGACCAAAGGACCAGGCCTCTTAGAACTGGTTACTGCCTCTCCATAGTAACTGACATGATTAGGGGAAGGAAGGGACACTTAAGGACAAGCAGGCACCATGCCACAGTGGTAGGACCTCCCTTCCACTGTCGGGAGTCACTGTGTAGACAGCTTGTTTTGATTTTGATCACTTGCAAACTGGAGCTGAGCAGTTGATTTCCTCCTGGTTTTTGTAACAACCCAGTTCCAGTCACTGTCCTGATGCAAGGCGGGGACAGGCAGGAGAGTGGCCATCCTTTTGCTCTTGGGCATCTTCCCCAGGCCTTAGGCTTGGGGCTCAAGGGGAACCGCATGAGGACCCATTTCAGTAGGGAATGAAAACTGCAACTCTTAACTCTTAACAATTATTTAAAGCAATGCTGAGGAATTTGTTTTTAGACACTGTGGTTTTGAGGGAAGGAGTCTCAGATTGTTTCTATACAAATGTAAATCTAAGAGATAAAGTTGTTCGACTATTTTATTATCTTAGATTATATCGAAGTATTTGTTGTGTGTAGTAAAAAAAAAAAAAAAAACCCTCTGCAGACTTAATAAAAACAACTGACTAAAATGCAGTGTTGTTTCTTTGGTAATGACAGTGGGAAAATGGTTTGCTTTTGCTGTTGTAGAGGAAAAGTAAATAAGCAATTCACTTCTAGGTCAAATAGGAGCTTCCATTTATTGCAAGGGTTTCTATGGGGTTTCTGTAGGTTTCTGTATTACTGGCAGTTATATAACAGGTCATCACGTAGCTCAGAGGGATGTAGAATAATTAAATTGTTATTGTGAACTGTGCATTTCAGTTCGGCATTATATGGAGAGAGCAGGAGGCAGCAAGATCATTGCCGTTGGGAAGCTCGCAGCCTAGAAAGCGCACAAATACATAAAACAGATTCCCTTTGGGACAGGAGGTAATTACCTAGTTTGAAATGTGGCAAAGATGCTGAGCTTGACACTTCGATTTTCCAAGACGTGTGTCTCCGGGTATTTTATGACAAGTGGCTACGAGGGACCTTACTTTGAGGATTTAAAGCACGCACCTAGGCTGGTGCGGTTTTTCCTTCGCCCCATCCCTGCCGCCGTCGTGAGCTGAGCGCGCCACCTGCTGGCCGGCACCGCTCAGCCCGCTGGACCAACTGCTACCCTCCAGGAAGGGAGGGAGGTGCAGTACTTTTCAATTATTTCATAAAAATACTGGCAGCCACCACCGAGAAGCCTAAATGTGTTTAACTGCCAAGCTATCAGAAAAATACAGTTGAGGCTGCAGTTAATAATTAACTACGAGAGTCCTAAAGTCTGCATCACTTAAGACTTTTTTTCTTCCGGGGGAGAAATAATGAAGCCATCTCTCTCTTGGCCTGTCAGATGCTGAAAGTGGTTGCTTAAGGTGGCCTACTTAAAACAAATCCAATTCTGTTGTATCCCAGCCCAGGTGGTGGTAAGGTTCTGCAGGTCAGGGGAAAAGATTGTCCTCACTCAGCGGTTCTCAAACTCCGCTCACTGAGCCAGCAAGTATTTTAGCATCGCCTGGGAACTTGCTAGAAACACAGATTTCGGGGCCCCAGAACACTGAATCAGAAACTCTTTGGATGAGGCGTAGCAGTCTGTGTTTTAACAAGGCCTGAGGTGATTCTGACTTAGAATTACATTTGAGAATAGTTGTTTTAAGTCCTGTCTTGGGGAGGAAAGACCAGTTGTTCTAAGTTAACATTCAATATCTGCCATAAAGGTTAATCACTAATTCCTCAACATGTAGGCAGGGTCTGTTTACCCAGGAGCCCTAAACTGAAAATGCCCACCTAGTCTCTGTGATTGTGGTATCTCCAAGTATTAGCATTCACAAATTCTTTAAAAAAAAAAAATTTATGTATGTGTGTGTGTGTGTGTGTGTGTGTGTGTGTGTGTGTGGCCAGCTCAGCCCACCAGGGGGCGGGGCTGGCTGGCATGTGGTGCTGGAGGATTGAACCGCGGTCCCTGTGCTTTGCTAAGCTTGTTCTAAGTAGGTGCTTTAGACCACTGAGCCATCTCACCAGCCCCGTGTTCACAAATTCTTGTATCTCACCTGTATGTCTTGTGGCTAACCTAGCCGAATAATCACAACTTAATCCACTATTTTCAACTACATCATTAATAGTAATAATAGATTTAGCTATGTAGTTATACACAAAAGTAAAAATAAAATGATCCTTGTCTCCTGGGCATGTAAGCAGGATTTCCAAGCCCTGTTATAATATAACACAGTGGTCAAGAAGCTTGCCAATGCCTTCACCAGTGCGTCACAAAGCAATCCTAGACACTTGCCATTGGTTGATGGCGCCGTCTTGCAAAATCTGGATGCTCAGGCAGAATTTGTTTTTTCCAAGCAGAAGTTCTGCAAATCATTTTGTAGTAGAAGTTTGGAGCTCCAATGTCTAGCCCACAACAGACTCGAAGACAGAGAAAGGCTTCAAGAGGGACTAGCAATCTGAGTCTTTCCTGGTGGTCCTTGCCTGAAGGTGTCCTCATGCGCCCTACACTCTGTCCCAGGAACAGGGCACCAGCTCCCTTCCTTGGTCCAACAGTTTGCTAGATTTTGTTCCGAACCAGCTTCCTTTTACTGCTGTCTCTGATAGAGCTGTGACTGCTCAGGAACCCTTAGATTCCCTCAAAGCTAAAATACAGCAGTAATGAGGAGCTTCGGCATCTCAAGTCTAATGTTTCAATTGCAGTGACCAGACTTCACTTACTAAGCATTGACAGCACTCCTCGTGTGCTGGACACTCTCCTGAGCACTTAATTAACTCCTGGAATCCACAGTGTGGCCTTGTGTTTGGTTCATTTTCTATTGATTGTTACCAGCTTTAGAAGCTGAAGCCCAGACAGGGTAATTCCCCTGCCTGTGGTCCAGCAGCAGCTCTAACCACGGCTCTTAACCCTGGGCCCTACTGCCTCATGCTGTGGAGACACAGGTAAGGGAACAAGTGAGCTACCTGAGGATGATGCCCTGGACCTGGAAGGGGGTGGTATGGGCAAGAGCAAGGACTGAGTGAGGTTGACCTGGTGTCTTAGTTACTTTTCTGGTTGCTGAAACAAAATATCTGACACCCACCAATTAAAGAAAGTTTTATTTGGGTTCACAGTTGGTGGAGGTTTCAGCCCATAGTCGACTGGCTCTAAGGCAGGGTGGCCTGACAGAGAGGCACCTGGCAGGGAAGAAGAGAAACAGTCCCTGGCAGGGCAGGCAGGAGGCAGCAAAAGGAACGTGTGGCTTCATTCTGTACCTCTATATTCCATCAAGGCTACAAGTTTATTGACTGGTGCTCCTCACACCTAGGATGGGATTTTCATTATCTACACCATCCACACCCAGAACTATGCTAAACCAATTTGTTTATCACACACCCTTAATCCTAGTATCACACTACTTCCCAGAAGCCTCACCTATTAGTACATGCGGCCATACATGTACTGGCCCAGCAAGAATGTGGGTGAGCCTGGAGTTTGTGCGTAGTGGTTTGGGCACTGATACAGGTGAGGGGCTGTGGCCCACCATTGAGGGATTTCAACTCTGCTTTGCTTGCCTAACCTGTGTGAACAAATCCCTGGGCTTGATTCTTACACCGCAAAGATAACAAACCCCAAATCTGTCACTTTCTGGAGGGGTGACATTTAATTTTCAGTTCCTTTACTGGATGTTAGTACTGTAACAGGCACAGACTTGGATTGGAGTGATCATTGCTGACCTCTGACTTGCCCCTGAACCCTTAGCCCAATCCCTGTATTCCTGGTAGTCAGTTTGGTCTCTTCAATTGCAGGCACTCACTTGATAAATCTGATTAGTAAAAAAGATGAGAATTAGGTAAGTTCCTCTTGCAGTGGACCCACTGGTCTAAGTGGTTATAAACAATGCTACCTCTTTTGCTTGTTGTTGATTGTGTAACTTGTTCCCCAACTTCAGTTAAAAAAAAAATGCTGCTAAGCTGGATGAGATGGTGGGTACCCGCAGTCCCATCTACTCCAAGGCTGAGGCAACAGGGTTCCTTGAGTCCAGAAGTTCCAGGCCAGGCTGGGAAATAGAGAGATTCTTTCTTTCTTTCTTTCTTTCTTTCTTTCTTTCTTTCTTTCTTTCTTTCTTTCTTTCTTTCTTTCTTTCTTTCTGTATTTAGCACAAGGCCTACAATGTCTCACTACACAGATCAGACTCATAGTGATCCTCCTGTTTTCAGCCTCCCAAGCACTGGAATTACAGGCCACCACGCCCAGTCTCAGTTGCTGTCTCAGCACATCCCGGGGGTGGGGCAGGCACAGCACACTAGGGATTGGACCCCAGAGATTCTGTTTCTTAAGAAAGAAATGGCTGCTAAACTCCAAGTTCTACAAAGGGAGGAGGGTCAACTCGTCTACCCTTGTGCATCCAACTCGTAACACCTGGTAGGCCTGATATGGTATTGAAATGATTTCTAACTTTCTTCTAAGCCTCCACAGAATCTGTTGCCTGACATCCTGTTTTTGTTTTATTTTAAACTGTTTTCCCCTCTACTTTATAACTTCATTTGGGAAGAAAGCCTTATCTCAAACCAGCAGAGCATGGGGTTAAGAGCCTTGATTAAACCTCCCTCTGTTGCTTCTCTGCTGTAGGACCTCAGGTGAGTGACTTACCTACCCTACCTGGGCTTCAATTTCTGAAGTGGGCGAAGAGCAATAGAAACTGCCACTGAGGGCTGCTTCGTGGGTTCAAGAAGTCTGTCCATCAAGTGCCTACTTCTTTACCATAATTGACAGCACCTGTGTGTGACAGGCCACTGTCACACACACATGGGAAAGGAGTAAATATTTATGAGCTGAACAGGTAAGAGAAAGGGCTAGTGGGTCAAAATATAGGGGAGGTGAGTTTCCCACAGTTTTATGACTAAATGGTAAATCAAAATCAAAACTAGGAGCAAACAGCAAGCATCTGTTTGGTGGGGACAAAGAAGGCCAGTTCTGAGACATTTTATTATACCAGAAAGTAACAAAGTGCTAGAAAAATAAAAACCAAGAGTATGTAGGCATGTTGCAAGGACAGAAGAGCCAGCCAAAAGGAACTCTCAATGGCCAGATCTAGGAATTGGGCTGGGCATGGTGGGGCATGCTTGTAAACCCAGCTCTCTAGGAAGCTAAGACCAGAGGATGTCAAGTTCTAGTTTTGCCTGGGTAACTTAAGGGCTTTGCAAGATCCTGTCTCAAAAACAAAAATAAAAAACAGCCTGGGGGCCAGGGAATAGCTTGATGGTCTAAGTGCCTGCCTAACAAACAGGAGGACCCAGATTCTATCCCCGGTACCACATGCTGTGCTGGCCCTGCCACTATGCTGGCCATCAAAACTGGGTGGTGGTGCACACCTGTAATACCAGTGCTGGTGTGGCTGAGACAGGAGGATCACTATGAGTCTGAGCTATGGAGTGAGATACTCTACCAAATAAAGAAATAGAAAAAAGATTTTAAAAATCAATTATAAACTATTTGGGGAGAATTCATGAATTCCTAACACACATAGGAAGAAAAGACAGCTCATTCTCTTTTTTTTTTTTTT